GAGGTTTTTTTGGCAAAATCTCCACAGGGGTTTTGCCATGGCTTTTTTGGGGCTGAGAGAGCGTGCATGCATATTTTTATTTATTTATTTATTTATTGTGCTTCGGCCCCCCAATTGTCTGAGGGACAGCAACCCGGCCCCCGGCTCACAAAGGTTGCCTACCCCTGTTCTAGAGACTCCAAAAAGCATGCTACAAAAGAAAAACTGCTCTGATTCGGTTTTAAACCATTGTTTTGGAATCATCCTGTATTTCCTTCTTCTTTTTGACAAGACAGCTGGACTGGAGAGAGATACAAAACTCCCAAAACCATGGTGTAAAAGTAAAACTGCTCTGATTAGAAAAGAAAGCCCTTCATTCAGTCTTCCAAAGACCTGGGAAGTAAACCAAAGTGGATTGCTCTGGCATCTCCCCTTGCTCTTCTGTCTGTAAAGGGAAATATAACTTTTAGCACTATGTGTGCAAAGGAGTAGAGGACATTTTTAAAATAAACAAAAGAGAAAGGATGCCATACTGAAGCAGCTGGGGCAGATTTTGCTTGCTACCTTGCATCCTCACAAGTGCCAAGGCTCAGAGTGTAGGATTTGAGCTCAGTTTCTCTGAGCTCTTGAAAGCAGAACATGCCTTCACACATTTTGGAATAATTCTGTGTTTTTTTTGTTTTCATGAAGAGACAGCTGGGCAGGAGGGAGATGCAAATATCCAAAGTGTATGATGCAAAAGTTAAACTGCTCTGATTTTTGATTTGCCCCATTCCTTTTGGAATTGCCCTGCATTTCTTTTTCTTTTTGACAAGACAGCTGGGCTGGAGAGAGATACAAAAAAACCCCCCAAAACCATGGTGCAAAAGCAAAATTTCTCTGATGTAGTTTTGCCCCATTCTTTTTGGAATCACCCATTATTATTATTATTATTATTATTATTATTATTATTATTAATTATTCTTTTTCTTCTTCTTCCTTTTGATAAGACAGCTGGGCTGGAGAGAGAGAGAGAGAGAGAGAGAGAGATGCAAACATCCCAAAACCATGGTGCCAAAGCAAAACTGCCCTCACTGGGTTTTTTTGCCCCATTCCTTTTGGAATCACCATGTATTTATTTCCTTTTTCTTTTTTGGACCAGACAGCTGGGCTGGAAAGATGCTGCCTTGGCTCTTGGTCCTTTAATTTCCCCCCCTTTTGCAATCTCTCTCTCTTTCTCTCCTGCCTCCAGCTTTTGCAACCAGGCTTGGAGTGTTGCGCAAAGCAAGGCGAAGGAAGGATGCTGTGATTCTTTCTGCGTTTGCAAAGGCGGGTGTTGCAAAAAAATAAAAAATAAAAATCTCTTTCTTTCTCTCTTCTTTCTTCTTCCTTCCCTCTCTCTCTCTCTTTCTCTCTCTTTCTGCTGGTGCTGCAGAGGGTCACGTGGAAGTCCCCGAAGTTTCCATAGCGAGGCCTCTTTCGGCGTCACATGATGGCCAGGATATAATGAAAGCACATTGTAGCCAAGGGAGCAGTGCCGACCGAGGGCGCGCGCGGGGCGCAGGAACTTCTCCAAGGAGGATTTTGTTTTGGGGTGGGGGGAAGGCTTTTGGAAAGGGGGCAAGGGGAAGGGGGTCCGGGAATGGGAGGAGGACACCCTCCAGCCCTGCCCCGAAGACCTCCCCAGCTTTGATTCCTCTTCTTCTTCTTGGAAGGAACTTGGAAAGGAGGGACCCCCTGCGTGGGAATGGCACCTGTTCCTTTCCAAGATTGCGCATTTTTACGCACGGGGGGAAAGGAAGCGCCAGGAGGAAATCCAAGTCCCAGGAGGTGATGGTGATGATGATGATGATGATGAAGATGAAGATGGGGTATTATCGTGTGTCTGGGCTGTGTGCCTTCAAGCCGTTTCCGATTTAGGGCCACCCTGTACATTGTGTTCCTTCAAGTCGCTCCCGATGGGCTTTTTTGTCTGTGTCTGACTTCTGAAGGCGACCCTAAGGCAAAGCTATCCTGAGGTTTTCTTGGCAAGATTTGTTCAGAGGAGGTTTGCCATGGCTTCTCCTGAGGCTGAGAGAGTGTGGCTCGCCCAAGGTCATCCGGTGGGTTTCCAAGCAGAGCTGGGATTCGAACTTTGGACTCCAGACTTACAATCCAAGCCTCAAACCAGGAGGCCACTGTATTATTGTTTCTTTAAAAAGTGGGGCGCTCGCCCATTCTTTTCCACCTCTTTTGCTTTTGGGGGAGAAGAGGAACTCCTGCCTTCAGGGAAAAGGTAAGTTTCTTTCCAGTTTGAGGAGGGTTTTCTTGGGGGCAGGGGCAGAGGAGAGTTGCTTATACACATGCCTGTCCTTCTCTTGGCCATATTGTGGTTGTGGTTGTTGCGTACCTTCAAGTAGTTTCAAGTAGCCTCTTTTCTTGGCAAGTTTGCCATTGCCATCCTCTGAGGCTGAGAGAGTGTGGCTTGACCAGGATCACCTTTCCATGGCTGAGCCAGGATTCGAACCCTGCTCGCCAGAGCCCTAGTCCAGCCCTCAGACCAAAGTACAATAACATCCAGAATCCACAAAACTGTGATACCGTTTGGCCAAGCAAAAGGCATATTCAGGGATGGGGTTTTCTCTGTTCCAGGGATGGCTCCCCCTAAAGCAAAGAAATCTGGAGCTTTTTGAACCTCACTTCTGATGCCTCTTCCTCTGGGGGGGG